GGAAGGCTCTCCCGAGGCTCCGGCCGCCCTCCCCTGCCCCTGCCCACCCTGCGCCCAGCCCCCGCACTAAGGGCCGTGTGGAAAGATCAGGAGAAGCCTGGAAACGCCCCGCGGCCTCCAGGGCCGCCTCCACCACCGGCTGCCTGCTGGCCCCCGCGCCCCAGGGCAGGCCCCTCCCGGCTGTCTCGCGTCTCAGCTGAGGGGGCCGCACCCCCCCCCCAGTGGGCGCAGGAAGCGCCCAGGGAAGAGGGTTTCGGTGGTTCTGCCTGCCCAGGGCAGCAGCCGCAGCCCCACTTTAGGGTGCGGGGTCAAGAAAGCTCCCGCAGTCACCCGAGGAGCGGCTCCTGGAAGGCAGGAGTGGGGGCGTGGGGCCCCCTGTGCGCCCGCCGCCCCCTCTGCGGGCTCTCTGGCTCCTCGTGGTTCAGTGGCCCACACGTGGGCCGCGCCCGAGGGCCGCGCCCGAGCACCGCGTCCTCGCGTGGGGGACGAGCCCGTCACGCGTCCACGCCGGTCCTCGAGCCGTGTCCGACGGTCGCCACGCATGGGCCAGGCTCAGGGTCCGGCCGGGCGCCAGTCTGCCTTCCGGGGGTCCAGGGCTGGGGCCGGTACCCTGGGTGAGGAAGCCACTGCGCTGGGCCTGCCGAGGGGAGGTTTTGGGGTGCGCTGGCAGCGCGGGACGTTAAGGGGAGGGGACGAAGCGGAGGAGGCTGGGAGGGCGTGCATAAGGAGGGGGATGTCGCGTGGGCGTTTTGGGGGCAGGTGGAAGGACTTTAGGGTCCTGGGGCTGCCTGAAGGGCAAGAAGCCCGCTCAGCTAGGGAGGGCCAGGGAGGACCAGGCCTTCCAGTGGAAAATGGCATTTAGGGCCCCGACAGGTAGCTACGCTCATCTTCCCCTCGGGCTGCGGGTGCAGACACGGTGGCGCCAGGGTCCCCCAGGCGGGGCGCGGGTCGAGACTGGCGCACTCTGCCGGCTGGCGGTCGCCGTTCTCCAGCCCTTCTGGCTCTTGCTGGGCTGAAATCGCAACACATGGCCGCGCCTGTCCTGCTGGCGACCCGCCCAGCCGCCACCCTCTCTGTCCCTTGCAGGGCTTCCTGGACTGGCCCAGAGCGCCGCAGCAGACGACGCTGGTGCTGGTGGTGTGCGTGCTCTTCCTGTTCCTGGTGTTAACGGGGATGCCCATGGCGCTTTTCCTATGAGCCCGCGAGGCCGCCTCGAGGACGCCGCGTGTCCCGCGGGGGACGGGCCTGGCTAGCTGCGGGCGAGGGCGCTGAGGCTGACCACGTGCCGCCATCCCCCGTTGGGGTCCCCTTGCTGTGTCTAACCTTGTGGCGAGGTCGTACATCTGCGGGGTGAGCTACCACCACTGTCCACGCCCCCGGGGAGGGTCAGGAACGGGCTCCGCGGCTGCAAGGTGCGTCCTGACCTCAGCGACGTGGACAAAGGTCGCCGGGGGATGGACGGCCCAGCAGCTGCGCCCCGCCACCGCTGTCCCCAGGCTGTAGGGTAGCGTGCACAGATACGGAGCCCCGATTGTCGTTTCAGTGAGTCTCGTCTGTCGCGCCCAGTGTCCTGGCGAGTTTTTCCTTTCATCTGCTCCGTTGACACTGGGGAACAGCTCTCCGCTGACGCGACCGCGTCCTCCCTTCAGTCATCACCTACTTTTATTCATCCTCATTTCGTTGCTAGAACGTTCTTCCTTCCAGCGAGCCTTCGTGTTTTGACTTCGTTGTAGGCGTGACGCTCCCCTGTAACCTTCTGACCAGCTCGCGCTGCTCTTTCCAGGACGGCGTCAGGGTTTCTTGGCCCGTTTCCCGCCGGCTTTGCTATGTTTCCTGTGAACCTAGTGGGGTTTTGTTCTCTCCCGTGTGGCAGTTTTCAGCCGGATGCCGGCTATTCTCTCACACAGAATCCTTCAGTCATTTCTGCGCACACTGTGCCCTGACACTCCGTGAGTGCCGTGTGCCTCGGCGCTCCCCAGAGCCTTCTGGGAGCTGTGCCCGGGGCCCCCTAGGTGAGTGTCCCCGGACGTCCAAGGCCGGCTTTGTTTCTAGAATCCCGACTCGGCCTGCTCCACTGCTCCCGTTACTGTGGCCCGCCGTGACCCGCCGTGAGCCCCACGGAGTTGCGGGTCCCGCCAGGAGCCGTCTGTTCGCTTTGCTTTGAGGCGGAAATGTAGCCTCGCTTTGCCCTATATGTGATTTCACCCCATAACACCCCAAATAAATGGTGAAAATGCTTCTGAGTCCTTTTTTTAGAGCCTTTGAACGTCTTTTTCCCCAATTTGCTGGAGAAATGACACACGTCTGAAATGTGGGGATTCTCTTCCCACCATCTCCTGGCTGCACCCCAAAAGCAGGAATGGGTTGCACCCCCGAAAGCAGGAATGGGCCGCACCCCAAAAGCAGGAATGGGTTGCACCCCAAAAGCAGGAATGGGCTGCACCCCAAAAGCAGGAATGGG